GCATCAGCCAGATGCTCCATCTAGATGTTTTATCCAACTATACAAACGAACAGCCCCACACACCAACAAATATAGTTTTTCGATATCTTTTGGAATATTAACCTTTGATCTCTTAGACTTGGTCGATCTTAGCTCGGATTGCCATGTTAATTCGTTTCTTAGATGCTAGATGGTTAGATCATCAATTTCCATGGCTAATTTACAACTTTCTATGCGACCTTTAAATTTTGAAAAATTAGGATTCTTGATTTATGGGAGTGACACAAATTTAGGAGAAATTGGAGTTTATGGTTTCTTGTGATATTTTGTGGCTAGATAAAATGATTTTGGTAGCAAATTAATCAATGCCATTGGAGTCGACATCCACAAAAAGTGACAAAAATTAATTGTTTGAAAAAGAGAATCAAGTTCCTCCCTCCTCGGCGAGATATTTTATCCACACTTCTCCCCTTCCCGAAAGAGAAACATTACATCATATCCATTTTTTAGTAAAGGTGATTCGTCCTCGGGTTCAATGCCGGGAAGCTGTTCAACTGTCTCATCGGATTGTCATTTTGCATAGTAGTCTTCACGGGGACATTATCGCTACAAGAATATCAATTTTTGACCAATTTTTTTTTGTGGTCAAAACTAATTTGATTATTTTCGATTAATTTTAGACGAATGTTTATTTTCGTTACGAATTGATCAAGAAAATATGATGAAATATAAAAGTCAAAAATTGGTCGAAAGTTTTCGACCAATTTTTAACGGATTCGTAAATTTGTCAAAAAATATTCGAAAAATTGCGACAAAGAAGACTGATTGAAAATTGGTCAAGAAAACATGTTAATTTTTGACCAAATTTTTTACCAATAACTTGGTCAAAATATTTGTTAACAAATTTTCGACCAAAAAATTATGAAAATTTAAACTCGTCAAAATATGATCAAACTTTTTGTTGACTAATACAGGTGGTCAGTAAATAGTCAAAATATTCTTACCATTTATCGACTAAAACAAAATTTGGTCGAAACTTCGTGAGTAATTTTTTACGAATAAATATTTGACAGAAATTGGTCACAACATTATCGACCAAATATTGAGGAGAACACTTCTATTGTATTTGTCCCACATCGCCAATATGGGAGGGATGAAGCTTTGACTTTCTCTATAAAATAACACATACTCCATTTAGAAAAACGTAAATGGGTTTCATGGCCCAAATAGTTAAATTTTAAATATTTTAATCGCTCATTGAGTGAATATTTTGAAATTATTATAAATCAAATATTTTAAATTTGAATTTTATATTTTCGAATATATTTTTTTGAAATATTTTATATTTTAATTTTTAAAAATATTTAATTTTAATTATTATGAATCAAATATTTTAAATTTCAATTTCAATTTTTTCGAATTGATCAAAATATAGTTCTAAAATTTAAATATCTAAGTTGGTCAAAAATTGGTTAGAATATATGYTCTAAAATTGGTCAAAARATATAGTTCCGACKATTTTGATTMATCAAAKWWTTTTGACGATTTTATTGGTCATAATCAAAATTTTGACCACTTTGTTGGTCAAACCCAAAATTTTGACCATTTTTATTGGTSAAAACGTTTTGACTATTTRRTGACCAAATTCCATTTGCGACCATCGATTTTTGARGAATCGATTTTGGTCAAGTATTAGTCAAAAATAGCTGTTTTGATCAATTTTAGACCAAATTGATAGTCAAAATTGGAATATTTGTATATGCAACCAAGTTCGTATCGACGAAATTCAGAGGTGGGGTTATCTTTCAACGTGACTTTTTAAAGTAATAAAGTCTCAATATTCCGGGTATGTTATGAAGTTTCTATCCACGAATTCGAACTTTATCCAAATTTACTTTCAATCTTCTATGAAAATTTATCCGCTTTCTCTATTGCAGTATTTTGTATCGTAGCAATCAATTATGTTGTGTGTCCCTCTTGTAGTTGTAATGCAGAAAACTAAAGTAATATAATTAAAATTTGTCTAAAAAAATAAGGGGATTTTTGTGGATGTCGAGACTTGATTGAAACTAGATTAGAAATTATTTATGATTTCGGATTCACTTTTTATTTGACTTCTTACATTGAATTTGATTCTACTTAGCCGCGAAACATATAATTCAAACGAATGTATGGTCTGCATGAAGATGTTTAGAAACAGATCAACATATATATATATATAATCTCGAAACAATCACTATATGCAACAACTCTTTTTTTAGAGAAAATTACTCGGATTAGCACTAAGTTATTGATATATTACTAGACTAACACCTATTCAAAACCACTTCATAAAAAGCATGTAAGAAGAAAATTAACCCATTAAACTTTAGAGCATGATCAATGGTAGTTGTTAAGTGGTTTTTAATGGATTTTTAAAAAATTAAACACAATTAAATAATACACAAAACACTTAAGAACTCCAATAAAATGTCATCATTTAAGAAATTAATTAGAACTCTAAAATATGAGGTTGTAATTGACAAAATACAATTTATAATAAAAAAATCACTTAGTACTCTAATTTAACAAGTACCATTGATTATACTCTTATT